CAGTTCATCGTGGTCGTCTAGAACAACTACTACAAATTGCGTCAGCAAAAGTTCTATATATTATATAATCCATGTGTGAGTCATAGCAATAGTATAATAACCGTTAGCTGAATAGTGGATGGCCGACTAATCGACTTGTTCCTATTCCACTCTGTTGTGGCCATCGGCAACGATAAATCTTTTTGTCCATGCCGTCGTGCCGATGTAGACCCTCCTTCTATTTGCATGTTATTCATGCACGACGACGTACGATCAGACGGCTCTTGCGCACTTTCGTTATTGTTATTATTACTGATATTCTGGGGTTATATTGACGCATCGTACACGAAACTGCTAAGATATATAGCTATTGTACAATATCGCAACCCACAGACAAAGATGTACATAGGACCTATAAGCGTGCTAGGCCTTAATTTGCGACACGACGAATCCGTTGCAATAGGAAACTTGTTGTAGAAACTATTACCTACATATTCAGTTCAATTATCTACGTACATAACATATATTATTAACGTTATCATTATTGGCTTCGTTGGTCATTGGGCCTGCTTCTGCTGCTGTGCAGATACTAACTATAAATTATAATTGATCTTTTCTAGCTTCTATCGACATATATGTCGTATTACGATTTTTTTTGCTACCATTTGTTGGAACTGTCAGTTAAGCGCGCAAACGTATATGTATACGGCAGTCTTTTTTTTAGGGTCATAAGCATTGTTGATACAAATTGTACTACAGAAGTGCAAAGGCTACTTTATCGCTGCGCTATCGAAAAGTCGTACTCTACATTGTCTGTAAGTACTGATAAAGAAAGAAAGAGAGGCGATACCGACAATGGCAGTGCTTCAGATTGGTCAAGACACGATAGCTGTACAAACTCTATATTATTCGTTGAGTAGCGGTTTTTTTTAAACAGAGGGTAAAAACAGACTCATCGGACACCCCACGCCGTTCATGGGCGGTATTACCGCATCGTTACTAATAACATCGTAAAGGCCCGTACGCAGGCCGCGCATTGAACAATGCTGGCCTTCTTAGCATTATTTTCTATCCACGCACTCAATCAGTTAATATAAAAAAAGGATAATTTTCTTTTTTAGTATAATAGTTATTCGCCGGAAGAGAAGTCGCCAGTCGAAGACAACAAAAATTATAATCCGTAGAGTGAAATATATATACTGTTTAGCAAATCTTTTTTACATCATCATCTCTTTATAAAGTCTGTCCTTTGTGTACACACTTCTGCTATCAGTAGTATTATGCTGCAATTCGTTTTGCCTGACATTGATGGTAAAGAAGCTACAGAGCTAAGATCTTGTCGTCCGTCGTTTGTTATCCTAATCGTTATCACCTTAGAAACACTGATAATAGTAGGAGGAGGAGGAAGGGGCAAAATAGGATGATCGCGTTATCACATGTTGTATGCACAGCATGTGGTGGTGATGCTGCCAGGTATTGTATTTTATCGGGGAAAGCAAGTAGGGAGGGGGAGAAAGGCAGAGACCGATGGATGAATGAACGCATGCGAACGAAATAGTGGTATCGGGGGCCACTAATGAGACAACCGAGGCTCCCCATTCCAACAGAGAGAGAAAACAGCCTACCTGTTTCTGTATATGATATACGCGCGCGGTAGAACTATGAAAACAGCTGAAGGTAGTCACTTTTGTGTGTCAGCATTTGTGTATCTAAATAACGTTTGTCGATATGAGCACGTGCGCGTGGTGTGATTCTTCTGTTGTTTTCCGCTTGGGTGGCAAAAGACCCTTTGAGGGTTGCGCCAAGGACGCCGTTGTACAGAGCTGGCTCGTGCTGCGATTTTTGCTACCGACACAACCGATGCTGCTGTTGTGGAGCAATTCTTGCAAAGCAGGGGTTGCACTGACTGTTGCGTTAAGCATAGATGAGCTGAACAGTGCGATGACACACGATGGACAGTTTTCTGCGGGTTTCCTTTTTCTCCTGTTCTCCTGATTTCTTAGCACGCGTCTGTGGAGTGGTGCTAGGGGTTAGAGGTGGTCGGCGAAGAACCCATGCTAATACCCTAATGTTGTTGTTGCCGACCGTCATGATTACGTATACATACGTATACGTACGTGCTAGTAATGCGCGCCGCGCAGAGATCGTAGTTTCTTAAATGGTCAGCGCGCTCATGCTCCTGTGCAACGTTCCTCGTCCTTTCGCTACGCATGATATTGCGAGCTACGAATATATTGCTAATATTATTATTATTATTATTATTATGGTTATTAACGAATAAATTTTATCGGTGCAAATATTGTTACAGCCGTTAATTTTGTAGTCATGATCATGTTAGGATAGTTGGAGGGATTCTGACGACAATTACGATTGTTGCGTTAGCTGGCGGCAGTTGTGCTATGGTGGCAACGAAAAACAGATGAAGTTTAACTAATTTCCTTGCCATGTACACACGCAGACGTAAAAAAGTCTGTTGCTGAACGGTTTGCCCAAAGCCAGAAGGCGACGGGGGGAGAAGGACCAAGCGGATTTGGCTCGGGAGGCACCGGCTGCCTCTCACAGAATGGACCACTCGGAGGTCTGTTCAGCGTCGGGCACTGCTCGCTCCGTCAAGTCTAAATTGTCGGCTAGTGTATTAAATTACGAGAGCGCTTACTTATACTGCTCTGATTGGCAATGAAGATGATGCCGATTATGATGATGAACGCTGATATTAACAAGGTAATTATGTAAGAACGCCGGTACCGCATCGACTGTATGTATAGCAAGTACTAGAACCATTTATGTTTCCATCACAAAATTACGACCACAGTAAAGGTAACGGGACAAAATTGATTAATAAACCATGATGTTGCCAAGTGCTGCGTATGGCAATGAAATGCGTGGCCAAAGGAAATAATTATAGAAATTTCTTGCTTTGCTCTTCACGACAGCCATTATGTACGAAAACCCATGTCATAACTCGACCAGATGGATATATTACGTGTAGAAACGAACAAGAGCTTTTTATATGCTCAAGTGACACGAGGTAGAAAAAATCTAGATTTTATCTGAGTAAAGGTTTGCCGCGGCGGTTGACGTAGAGACCGCGCTACACATCCGTAGGAATCAGCGCCAGCTAGGATGCCGTCGCTAGAGATTAATAAACAGATAAACGATGTATTAGTATACCCTAATAACGTCTTCTGGAGAGTTCCTCAAGCGACGTAATCAAATAAAGGCGGTAAACATCATACAATGCAACCTTGTCGACTTTGCAAGGAACAAATTTTAAATCTGAAGGTATCAGTATATATATATATGTATATATATGTATGTATATATATATATATATATAGAGAGAGAGAGAGAGGGAGAGAGAGAAAGCGAATTGAAAACAGGTACACTGGTGGAATTGTTTAATGAACTGACACACATAAATCGCAGAGAAAGAATCAATAGTATTCTTCAAGATAATAGCATTAGTTCGGTGCGATCGTTTATCGCAAGCGTTCGATTTTTGCATAAATTGAAGGACTTCCGTCAGTAAGTCACTTATTTTTTAGCGGTCGAGTGTGGTCCTCATTTACTCACTCAAGGAATTAGATATATATTTGGTTATTTACTAATAAAGTTGTACAAATATCGAACTTCCAAAGCTTTTTGTTGCCAACTCCCAGAGTCAGGCGGCATCGTGTACAAAGAGAACTTGTCACCCTGATTGAAAAACTGACAATAGCCAATAATAATATGTTAATTGCATATTTTCTAGATGATACAAAAACTGATAGCAATCAAGTTCTATCGATTTTTGTCTAAGTTCAGTGATCGGCAATTGCATGGCGTATTAACAGCACTAGAAAAAAACCAATATATATGTCTACTGAAAGAGCTTTAAATAATATTAAACTATATGTTATACAAATGGAGACATTGATGGGGCTTTTTATTTGTATGAGGCCTAGCTAATTTCTGAACTCATAGCTAGGCTAAGTTAAAACATCACTTTAGTGGCCTAAAATTATATCCTAAATATAGACATGTTGTCTTTAGATGTTCTGGCGGCGTTAGGTTTTTATTCAGTCTAACAAATATATAAATATACATAATAATGACATTTTCAATGTTACAAAGGTCGTTTTTTATCCTACTAACAAAGCAGCTAACGACGCTAGCTTGATTGTGACGAGGATGATCAGAATGAAGATTGCAGATTGAACGAATAAGTGAGTGGCCTATTAAAAAAGATATTCTTCAACTGACCACAGTTTATCTATGCAGATTATTATACTTGTACATATGTTTCAAAAGTTTTGACGCTCATAAAAGTGGAACTGACGCTCCGTTCGAGCGGATTCGTTCAGCCGAAACTTGTCGGGGGAGCTTTGATTTCGAATTAACTGATTTGCTCTGTAAGTTTACGTCTGGCAATAAATTACGTAACTACATTTCTCAAATAAAAACACACAATTTTATTCTATAATATCCGTCCACAAGGCTGTCGAATCAGATAGCGTAGTCTCGCTCAAGGACATAGCTATGATGTCATCGATTAAATAAAAGATATCGAAAAGGTCTCAGCTAACATGAGACATCGTCTGACCACACTGAATGACCACGCTCAACGGCCAGAAAAGTCTATCTATATAAATCTATAGAGAAAAATTATCTATTGAACATATCGCTTAGATAGATATGTAAAGTTGTACATTGAAATGTTTTTGCATAAACGCTGTAAAGGAGAACTCCAATATTTTACCGATAAAAAAAAGTAATCTAAAAAACCTTCCCTAATTTCATTTGCCACTTACACGTTAACTTTACTAGTTCAACGTACTTACTTACAATTCATCGCGAAACCAACGGTTGTATGACCTCTGATTGGCGTACCTTTCTCTTTCTTTCTTCTTGAATGCTAAATACCTCATTTTCGAAATCTGTGCCTACGACCCAATTGCATAGATTAACCTCTTTTTTGTACTATTATAAAATTACGCAACAGAAAAATTAATACAACCATCTGCTGTGCATTGTTGTTACAGATCCGTTAGATCTTCGTTGAACAGAATACTGGACACCCCTGGGGCTGTGACGACAGAGTTGTAAATGCAGCTCAGCCGGTAGCGTCGCTCTACACGCGGCGCCCCTACGGGCGACCGCCACCCCCCTTACCCTATCCTTACCTTCCTCTTCCATGGTGGCCTGCGGATCGGCGCTTAGTGTTCATCTAACTGGCAGCAGTCCGTCATTGTGTACGGACAACGCACCGCCACCTGTTGTGCCTCTTCGGCCGTCCCGATCTCTTGTCGTCGGTAGCGGAGGCGCTCATTCTGCGCCCCTCGCTCTGCATAGCGTTCCTTCGTACCGGCTGCAAAACAGCAGCCCGGCCGGGGTGCTGTCCCCGCCCGGGCCGCCAGATTGGCCCTTGGCCGAGAGGTCGCCGCCTCCACCACTACCCCCAGGTTCGACCCAGGGTTCGGGCTCAGGCCCTGGTCACCTCGGAGGGCAATACCCGCCTTCATTCTCACCATTCTCTCCTCCCGGCCACTCGCTGGGCTCACCCCCCGGCCCCCAGGTGCTCCAACTGGCGCCCCTTCAGAATCACAGCGGCCCATTGGTGCCCTCTCACCAGACATCAACAACAACGACGACGACGACCCATCTCAACCTGAGCCCTATTACCAGCCATAGCAGTCCGCCTGAGCTGCCGTCGAGCTGCATGCCTCTTGTAAGTACATCCATAATGTTAAACTACGAAAGCACTAGATTATTTGACAAGCGATGCTACACTAAAAAATTAATACGGAAACAAAAATAGATCCCGCTATATACTAGAAAGTGTACGGGACGTAATGTTGATGTTAGGTGTGACACCTTTTGCTGGACAAAGTTTGCAGTGGATACTAACGATCGGCGTAGTTTACGTTGAGTGACGTTAACACAAAGAACGCCTGCTACACGAGGCAAGTTTATTTTGCTTTCATGTATAAGAAGCCCATTTTAGCTAATTGAATTATTCGGGTATAGGTAGCTAACCAAGAAGGTTGTAATTTTTAGGTGAAAATATTTTCGCAATAGAAATAAACCTTTTTTTTTTTTTTTTGTAGAACACTAAATCTTACAAAACATCGTAATTATTGATAGAAATGCAGCATTTAATTATGCAATATTCTGCTAATGTTTGACTACCCACGACCGGGCATTTCGTTTGCGCACTCCCAGGTTGAGACAATGCTGTTTCTTAGAACAATAATCTGGAATCGCCCATTTAGCTGGGTATAGGCGTCGATAGGTCTCCAAGGCTATTTACAACATGTCTTCCAAGCTACACGAACAATTTTGCTAAGCTAAATGAACGATTGACGTTTAGCTCTATGTACTCACAGTATAGTACGAAGATGTGATGATCTGTTATTACATTTCTAGCCAGTCATTATAATGCCATAGAAGTTTTACATAGTTTTATATGTGCACTTTTGGGTCTCTCTGTGGAAAGACGTCACAGTTACAGTGTGACGGCTGTCTAGTTGCAGACAGGACGATAATGTGGAAAATACAATAGCTGTCATACTGAAAGAGAAAAGCTGGACGCAACTTAGTTGAGATGCAGTAAAAATCGAACCTAACCTAAGGATAAATGACAGAGGTCAAAGAATACGAGTCTATGAAAGGCTTCTCGTAAACGAAAGCAGACTTTCTTAGCCACAAACATCAACTAATTTCTAATTCGCTAACAACGTCTCTGCCGACACACAAATTGCTAGCTAACGCATCGTAATCGTTTTTGAAAGAACCAGTTTGTCCTTTGAATAGGCAATCCGACAGGCAGAAAGATGTAACGACGATCAATTCTTTGAAGCTATTCGTGGGTACGTAAAACATGTTTCGTGTCCTTAAAAAGTAAAACTTGGGAGCCTTTAGGTATCTTAGCCTAGCGTACGTTCAAAATGACGTACCTACAAAATTTCAGAATAAAAATATCCACAATGATTATTTTAATTTACAGGTACCCTTAAAGGATCGTAGGAGAAAGCAGGTCAAACTTGAATGTTTTGGCAAAATTTATTATACCTAACGATATGACCTAAAGACAGATATATTTTCAAGATCTATCTGCTGTATAAACGAATAAGACTGTTGGACCTTCGTTTTGTTGAAGTGTGATATATGATGTTTCGTGATAGAGACAAACACAATACAATAAGTAAACTTCTCTTACGACTCGCAAGGCAGTCAACATTGGCTCCCGAGGATAGCCGAAAGATGCTTAGATTAATTGATATATTTTTTAGCACTACGTCTAGTAGACACCTCATCATGGCACGGGTCTTTTTCTGATAATTACACTTTGACATAGATCTTGCCAAAGGAATATAGTAAAGCAACGAATCAGCGATGTCCATGAGTTGTTATATTCTGCGACCGTGCCAATTACCTAATACCATCTGTTGAGGTCTCACTTGATGGTCCCACGCGCATCGCCAGGGACAATCTTCGACGATGCCGCATTTTCGTCAAAACTCCAAAATGGACGATTACCCTTTACAATTATGGCCACAAATATCTCACAACGTTCCATACACAGATGTTGTATCATGGTTTCGCCTAGCCGCACACGTATTTATTGGAGTTGATGGAAAGTGACGAATCGGATGGGCTGACATCTCGTAGGAAACGATTTTGTCATATATAACAGGTTATAACATGGCCGATCATTGAATATAATTAGCTTTCGTAATGGTAAAGCGGGTTAGAAACAGATCGACAAAAGAAAACAATACATTTGTGCTATGTATTTATAGAAAGTCAGTGTTGACTTGTTTAACCGAACAACAAATACCGGAACAATGTTTGCATGGGATTAAATTTTCCACTAGGAATGCTATAAGAGTTGGCTGGGGACCAGAGTCTTTGCTGTCGCTCACCTTTGAATCGCACTGTCGGCCGTCCATTTCGTGCTATTGTCGATGGTCGCATCGTTGTTGCTATTGTGATGATTGCTCAATCATTTGCGCTATGAAGGAGGCCGGAAAAAGGTAAATTTTCTGAAAAATCTCCCGCTTCTATCACAAACGTATTCTAGTTAAATGGTGATATGGACGAACGCACAATAGGCTACATTTTTATGGGTCTTCGACGACGTCTGATCCCTACAACTTCAACCCGAAGAACACGTACGACATGAACCGACTAATCCTTGGCATGGCAAATCGACAGATCCATAGCCATATTCTTGACCTTGGTCGTCCTTGACAATTTACCATTGCCATTGAAATACGTTAGTCAGTAAATACTCGCTCTAACGGAGGTATACGGTACGACGGGAAACGCTGTTATGGGTTTCACGGGCACAAGATTTTCTGTTTTAACAGCCCAACATTGTTTACTTACTTAAGGTGGCTTATTTGTCTTTATTCTTCAGTAAATCCGAATTACCGATATGCCTTCATTTTCGTTAAATTATCGTCTATATTTTATATAGGCTTACGTGTTTGACTACCGAGCAGAAACCTCTTCAACTAACTGTATAGATCTCCTGGGCGATATGAAGTCAAACACGTAAGCAAGGCTCAAGGCTGAAGTTGAGCCTTTTCTACGCAGCGGCCTATCTCCACAATCTGGAGAAACTAATTACATGAAACAAAAAGCGCATGAGTACCAAGGTCAAACACGGGTATTGCATTACGTAACCCCGATTGATATGTATGTCAGATATTGATCGGCCACATCGGATTTTCTGGGCGTACACCACGATTATTGTTATGATTATTACTATGATTAGCAGCAGCAATGAAAAGGCGAGATATAATAAATAGTCGATTATTTCATGCCTATACATCGCGGCCTCAACCGCGATCTCTTCTGCACCCGTTGCTGCCCCTAGCATTTTGGATGAATATTGGAAAAGTGTTCCGCGTGACGCCACAGCAGATGCAGCGCCTGACCACTCATTTGAAACCCACAGCTTACCGTACAATATTCACAATGTGTCTCCTAGGAAACAACTATACGAAATGAACGCTATCGGATATCCAATTGTTCTTTACTCTGCAACCACGTATGTGAATCCTCTCGTTATGTCCACCCTTTTCAGGAATGGCTCATAAAGGAGCGATAATCATATCAGACAGCAGGGTCGAATCAAGTCGAGTCTGTTAGCTCATCTTCGCTTTCATTGGGTAATAATAATAATAAGCAAACTTTCTGTCATTTGACTGGCAACCGTCAGCGTCGGGCGTCCTTGATTGTTGCAACATCGGGGTAACAGAGGCGAAAGAGTGTTGGCCGGGCTCTTTCTTCTTGTGTAACGTGTTGTCATAAACAACTCACTCTAGTTGGTTCAGCATCGTCTGCCGTTTCATGCTTTCATCGGCGTGTCTGCCAGTCTGCTTCGTTAAGACAGGCACGCGTCAGCTTCAAAAAAAAAATCACGGGGGTGGCCAACGGTCGTTCGTACATTATTGTTATTTGACGAACTCGCAGACTTTGCCCCATTCGAGCAAACATGGCGTGTCGGTGATTGTGCCCATAAACCTGAGATATACATATATTCACTACAATCTGATTGCGTTAGCTGTCTAACGATATCCCACATGGGCTGTTGCTGAACGGTCAAAGCAAAAGGCTCGAACCTCTTGGCATTAACACGTATTCGCTAAAAGTCAGTTTCCCGTGGGATTGATGTATAGCTTGTTGAGTTGCGGCCTCTACCTATAGGCGGAGCACAAGACGACATGGACGCCATCTCTCCACTATTTACTAAGGCAACATTTTAAATAGACGCGTAGACGAATTAATGTCCGAACTCTATATGAAGACTAGGGTGATCTTCTTAATTACATTTTCCTCTTCTCTCAAGATTAAACTAGCTTGTCAAGTGCCAGGAACCTGTTTAGTTGATTGACTTCTTTCAAACACAGAGCTTTTATGGATAGATTAAATAAATCAGCTGGTTAACTTATCAATTACTTTAGCGTCAACGCAAAGCTTCAATTCAAAGAGTGCCCTTTAACGCCGCACAACTGCAATACAATTTGTGTGGATAACGGATGTCATATCTGTTCTGGTTTTCTGTTATTATAACATGCCTATAGGTTAGAAATAAACCCCAAAGGAAAGTTTTCCTCATGAACCCGTGATAGCCTGTGCCCGTGTTTGTTCCAGCAATTCAACCTATGTTATTTGCTTTGTTCCCTTAGCTCCACACTGCCTTTGACATCGAAGTATATACGATGTTCCACGTGTGCCATGCCTCTGAACCCGTATTCTTTTTGTCGATTCATATAAAACTATAATACGCTTATCAGCATTACTTTCGTATAACTAAATAATATGGGGCAGAAACTATACGATAGAGTGTCTATGTAATGGTCTTCATAGTGACACTATGACGACCAATAGCAGTGGTAGTGCTTCTAGACCTGAGCTCAGTTTTATAACCACTGCTCGTTCTACTGCGATTGTCCATAAGCACCCCAACAACATCTTCCTCGGCCAGCGCCTACACAGCCACAGACTGAGTAGATTGTTGTTGTGCGGGTGCTACTGCCGGCGTCGAACGTGACGCTGCTGCCAGCGTTGAGCGTGACGCTGCCGCTGCTGCTATTTAGTTGTGGAACGAATGGCCTTGTATTGTTTGTACTGGTAATAGAAGCAGTAGCGGCGGTCGTAGCAATGGTCTTCTACAGAGGGCTCGCTAGTGGCTTGTTAGCGGATAATACTTGCCTGGCGTATGGTGGCTTTCGCGCTGGTCTGTGTTCGGCCGATTTACAATGGCACGACAAGGCGCTGTAGGCACTTTATTTCTGATTCCACCCTTTCACGTTACGCTGCGCTGAAGCCGCTATAGAGCGGCGACTGCAATGGAAATAGCAGTAGCAGCGGCGGTATCGGCCTATCATGGTGTACGTGATTGAAGTTGCTGCTGTTAGCTTGTCCTACTGCTGCAAAGGGCCGTTGTTCTTTTCTGCTTGACGGGTAATGGAAGTGAGGCTGTTCGCTGCTAGCCGCCAGTTCGGCTTTTATCTCACTCACCCGGTGTCTTGTAATCGTCCCGTGCCGTCTTCTTTCTAGTCTGATGAGCACGGCTGACTGTCACTCTGTTTGCTGGCCATTGCTGTTCACGCGGATAGGCAGTCAGTTGCTTAACGCCAGACAACGCTTAGCACTCGGCTCTCGTCACTGATTGCTGGTACTTGGTCACTGCTGGTTTCTGTTGTCCGCTCGCTGTTGCTGTTGTACAGCAGCAATGGCGACCTTGGTACACCGTTCCTTCTTGGCGCTGTCCCCGCAGCCACATGGCCCGTACACTCTTCATTCGTCTTCGTCGTTGTTGCCGTTGGCATCGTCGTCGTCCTCTCGACTACTTCGGCCTCAGTCTCGTCGCTCGTTGTTCGCAAACGAGAGCGTAGAAACGAGTGGCGGCGAGAGGGGAACGATCATACTGTGCGCATGAGCTGTAATGTTTTCTAATATAAGAAAATTATGGTGGGGCATTTAGGCAGATGTATGTGGATACGCGAGTCTAACGCGCGTCAGTACCGTCTGTATTCTAGCGCGCTTAGTGCTTCCGACAACGGACAGGGTACACAATGTGAATTATTCTACTATTTTAAAAGTAGCGAAGAAATGATAAGAGGCGGTAAAAATTAGGACGACACTGTTTAAATTTGATTAAAGCGGGAAAAGTCGTCTAGAGAAAGAACATATATGTATAATAGAAAGCAATGAAACAATTAGATATACAGCAAATGTGACAACTGGATTGTGACGCTGCTCTGCTTATGAAAAGAGCATGCCGCCATCTTAACTTTGTGGAAAAAAATAAGTTACGAACGAGGATCTATTGAAACTGTGTTGGCTAATCTCAGGTGTGCGTCAATATCTTATATAGCATTTGTCGTGCTCGATGAGATGAGGTTTCAATATAATAATCTTTGCTAACGAACGATAAAGAGGTAGGCAGTCATGTTGAATACTGTTTTTAAAACAGGTTGCTCCCACTAGCTAAATTTATTCCATCTTGGAAGGTACTATCGTATACAGTCCGTCCCAATTATAATTTCGCTTTGGCCTTTTCTAATTAGTTCTTCTAAATTTAAAAATAGTCTAATTTCTTTGTCTGTCAATCGATTTACGTGCAGCTAAAAGTAATAGCGTAAGCAACCGCATTATGTATTAGGTACGCTGGAAAGCAATTATACTAGCCGAGATCTATTTGAGGTAATGCTCTCGTTCGGTTGGGAGAGACTAACTCTGTTTATTGAGGTTAGTCCCTGCGCCTTTTATGACTCTCCCCACTACACGGCAACGTACTAATCAAGGGGGTATCAATGGAGCCGATCTATTCATGAACTTCAACCTTTTCTTAACTTAATTAACTCATCCTCCAAGCCGCGCTGCATATATGCGAACAATCGTGACCCGTTAGAGCACGGTCTGGCCTATAAAAAGAAAAAAAAGCAAACGGATTTACGTCCGAGGACTGTCAGGATTCTCCATGTCGTCAAAGCTTCAGGAAGTCAAATGAAAATGTCATACAACACAAATGCTTTACGCGGTCTTTTGTTTGGCGCGTCGACTTGAGCCATAGTCTGTCTTGTTCACTGTGTTTTAGAAACTTGATTAGAAACTACCTTTGGATGCTGCCAAATTCTCTGAAGAATTTATAGCGAAAAATGTCTAGAAGTTTTCAATTCATGTTTGTGCGGAGAATAAATGACCAATTCCCGGACGGAGAAGATCCGTCTTATCCTTGGTGTTAATTTTTTGCAAAGAACGACTCCTTTTTTTTTGCTGTCATGTGAGCGTACGTATATAAAGCACCAGTAACCGCACCTAGGATCGTGCCTTTAAAATCACCTATATATAGTGCATGTAGGCAATGAAGAACAACGCAGCGGCCAATCCTTGTCTTAGCAAAAGGCTCGTACGCTGACAAGGGTAAATTTTCGCACAACAGAGTTTGTAGCATACTACCGTGTGCTTCATAAGCCTCTCTGGAACCTGACTTGTCGTTCAAATCTGAATCTCTACTTCTAAAACGCGACGAGCGCTGCATAAAGGTATCGCTTATTTTACTATAATCTTGAAGTAGAAGACGGTGTTCGTTATCTCTACACGGAAGCGGCGAAAAGCGTAACGTTAACTACGCAGTTTTTTCACGCTACAATTTAATCTCGGAGGAAACTACCTCGAACGAACAGAGACAAAAGGCAAATAGTACAGAAAACGTAAAATTATTCAGAAAAAAAAGCATCTCAAAATCGTAAACGATAAACGGTAACAATGGTCACCATAAGGTACAGGTAACAGAGTTTGCGAGTCGCCGAAATTTCCTTCGAGCCAATGTAATATATACTTAATAGGTAAAAATTGATCTATAATAAATTATCTATACTGCGGTTGGATTCTTCTCGGCGTATTGGCTGTTGCGTCCGGTTGCCACCAGGTGGATAATGCATCTTGTTTGTTTTTCTTACAGTTCACGTCCCTGGTGAGTAAGAAATTCACGTCTAATAAAGTAATCGTAAGGTATCGACACAAACTGATGGTGAGTAACTAATCGGTCATGCCACTGGAACCTATTTTTCTACACGTGACTTTCGATATTAAACGTTTCGTCTTGAATATGGCTAGAAGCGCTTCAACATGTCCTTTAGCTGTTGTTAATATATAACAGAAGCACAAAATGTTATAACGCTCGATGACAAGTCACGCATCATCATCGTCTGCGCGCGCCACATACGAATAAGCCACGTATACAAAAGCAGAAACTTCGCAAAGACACGTCGTTGATGACGCGATATACGATCATACGGCGCAATCGATTATGGTTATAACTTGTCAACGATAGACATTGTTGCTGTTAACTTTATATAAAAAAAAAAAAAAAAAACAAAAACAACAGCGATAATATTGCACCGGAATTGTCACGTCGGATCTTGCGTAAGATAATATTATATTTGAATCGTGTGACACCCGACTAGAATCCCATGCGTTGCTTGAAATTGCTTTAATTAACTAGTTGGCCTAATTAACACTTGTTCTCCTCGTCTAACTGAAGATAGTTATATTCTGTGATCGCCATAATTTTTCTATTCGTGTTATTTCTTCCTCGTATTATGTCCTGCACTTGTTCTACTCGTACCAACGTATAGAACGACGCTCTGCTATACTACAGCCACTGTCGCTCGCCCCCTTGCCAACGGCAATCCGACAGGACCCGTATTATATCAGAGGCACCTTTGCCTGCCTCTCTCTTCCACCCTTTCTCCGTATTGCATCAGCGCAGCGGACAACACTTGTTTCATGGCAGTAACAACAGCGACAACAGCAGCAGCAGCGACAGTGGCTACAACACACAATAGGACAACAATAACTAACTGACTAATATTCTGTGAAGTGGCTTTTCCCCCTTCCCTTTCTTCTGACGGACATGCGTAGTAGCGTGCAATGGCGGAATTATCCTAACGATGGCCCCGTGACTGCCAGACAGAGACTGGTCTTTTCAGCCCACTGAACAGCGGGCACCGAACCCGTCGACGACGACCATCCCGGAAGCGCTTGCTGTTATGTGTACATTAATCGTCGTTAGATTGACAAAGATATATAATAATAAAAGTTTGTGGGCGCCACGAACACGATCGCCCAAGGCGACTTATAGGGTGTAAGGGCATATACCTACAACGAAAAATGCCCATCCAGGATGAGCGCCATAGACTCAGATAGTTAGAGTGTCTGTAACAGGCCCTTAGGATCATAAAGGTTATGTAATTTTTTAGTACTGTCTAAGTGAATATGTCGAAAAGCATCATTGTTTAGCATTAACATAGATGCTAAAACGACACCAATGTATGGATATGCACTTATACTACCAGTAGCCGAGCATCTGCTTTTTGTCTGCGTGAGATGAAGGCTTTTTCAGACTTGAACTCTTCCTTTGCCCTTTCGCCTGGGGCTTCGCCTGGCCCAGCGAATTAGGGGGCCCTTTCAGTCTGTTGTCTATCATCCATGAGCATATGTGTGTGTGTGATTTTTCATGTTTCGGAAAGGCTCGTGTGTAACTGCTCTATACCATTAGGCTGTACTGAAACTCGGCGTTCTAGCAACGGGCGAGGAAGATCGTAGTTTTTGGTCTTCGCTGGTTAACACAGGGTCGATTTAGTGATTAGCGGTCTCTAGCCTCTATCTGCGGTGGAGACTGAAAAGCCAAAACGTGTCTACTGCATGAGTATATACTATACTGCGAATGTCGACTGGCAGATGGGATAGCCACCATAGTAAAGCCTGGCGTGACCAACGAATAGTGGTTAGTAGGTTTTAGTATTTTGTCAACAGCTGGTACTGTCTTAACGAAGCGTTTGGAACGACGATATACACCGGAAATAATCATTTAATTTTCTCGAGTCTATAAAATGTTAGCTTCTTGTTTAAAGTCGTGAAGAAGCCTGCTAACGGATTATCTTGCAGGTACCGTAGTTTAAATACCGTCTGGCTTATAGGGGTTTGCTGCGTTGTTCCACAATCGTTTCCTTGTCATAAATCACTATATTTAGTTAAGCAATGATTCATCCAGAAAGCCTCAAATATTGGGAGCAGTCATAATTCATTTCGAATCTTACGATTCTTTTAAACGTGTGCCGCGGTGAATCCGTCAACTCTTAATTTTCAACTTACCGCCAAGGGAACTGCTGAAGGGTTCGGGCCCGCGAGTCCACTTATGTCGATTAGATAAGATCGCCAATCGTTAATTTGCCTTGGCAATGACGCCTTCTTATCTTCAAATACTATATGCAGCAGCCATAACTATATACAGCAGCGCAGGCTTGTACACAGAATGTCTATCGTAAACTATATAACATTAGGAGCTGTTCAAATGTAATGCGGGCAAATGCGCCTTATTTGTATTTTTTCACCAAACGCTCGTTTGTTTTTTGCAGTTAAACAATCTGCGTTATGTAAACCTGCGACCTGAGGGCATTTTTTATTCGGGATAGTTTGTTGGGCAACATTGATCTTATCCGCATGCATTCCCATCATGCCTTCGCCATCGGTTGGAATTATCTATATATTCGCTGATCAACGCTAAGAGCTTCCATCTTTGTACATCTCCAATAGAATATGCGATGTTTATAGAAAGTCTGACTGGTAGCTCTATACAGTATATACTTGATTCATCCATCTAATATCTTTCAGCAAATCGTTTCGGCTTCTTTCCAGAAAATGTTCCATAAGTTACCGGCCGTTTTCCAGGTATTAGCAGGCCACTGCTATATGGCTCAAAATGAGAATTGTTATTTGTACATAAGTGTTCTCTATTTCTGGATATATTCCTCTTCTTCTTCTTCTTCTTATTATTATTATTATTATATGTTCGCGTTCATATAACCGCTCTTTTTTCTAGGATGAATTTCACCCGTTTATCGAGGCGCTGCTGCCTCACGTGCGGGCCTTCTCGTACACGTGGTTTAACCTTCAGGCGGCCAAACGGAAATACTTCAAGAAGCACGAACGACGGATGGGCCTCGACGAGGAGCGTCGTTGTAAAGAGGACCTACAAAACGAACGGCCCGAGGTCAAACACAAATGGGCCAGCAGACTGCTTGGAAAGTTGCGCAAAGACATAACACAGGTAGGTAAATTCAACTACCTATATACATACGTGAGTGCTAACCAAAACTATTTGTACGGCAGCTCAATGGAATTCGAATGCCATCGTAAACGAAAAAGACGATATTTAAAATATTCTTTCTTTCATCTCGGACATCGGGCTTCTCAAGCTTGGACACTACGAGATTATTTGTGGAGAAAAAAACGATCAAGTTATACATTGTTTTGTACCGGGCCGTATTTGCATACTGTGGCTGTTTTCTACTAGATAGCCTGGAAAAATGGGTACACTTTCTAGTATTATCACAAATCATTTTTCCATTGAAAAAATTAATTGGTATCTTTCAAGGTCAGAAGCTTAGGAATATCTAGTACGATTTGCGGTGTGATGAATTTTTATGCAAGTGACAGACAGACTTATTTAATCCTATACGTCCTTCCAATCCTGTCACAGGACTGCCGGGAAGATTTCGTGTTGGGCATCACGGGCGCAAAGCAACGGCGCCAGCTGTGCATCCTGTCGAATCCCGATCAGAAGGGCAAGATGCGTCGCATCGACTGTCTACGGCAGGCGGACAAGGTATGGCGGCTGGACTTGGTGATGGTGATCCTTTTCAAGGCGATCCCTCTCGAATCGACCGATGGGGAGCGTCTTGAGAAAAGCCCGCACTGCCGCCAGCCCCACCTATGCGTAAACCCATACCACATCAACGTGTCCGTCCGGGAGCTCGACCTCTACCTCGCCAATCACATACGGCATCACGGTGAGTCACGTGTTAGATGATGAGCAATGTAATTTCACGTGGGGACTGAGTGGCGATCGCAAAAGAGAACACTTGCGGTTCCTAACAGTAACTCAACCTAATTGTATGCCAGTGTAGAAAATTTGTGATGTTTTTGACGTATATTTACGTTTAATCTGAATATAAACAGTGGATACTAATTAATCGGTAAAAATCATAAGTAAAGATTGAAGTTCATGTCTGAAGCAGACCTGTCTTCCAAAGAGAAGCAGCGAGTCTTTCTTTTATTGTAGCACATTTTAGACCAAAACCCAGCTAAAAAGTTTTGATCTGCTACGATTTTTTTCGGCCCGTCCGGAAACATAGTCAAAGCATCTTGAAAATGATCGCATGTGGAGGATAATTCCGTCACAGGGCAAGTCACAAATAACGTAGCATTATACAAGACAACGAATCACGAAGGGTACCGCTGGCTTCCACAATTGCTACTGTTCCACTTTTTATTATTGCAATGAGCCTAGCTATAATTGTTAATTCACAGTATGCTCTTCTGGACCAACGAGAACTCTCTCAGACGGGGAGACGGGACAAGAATGGTTCGAGACATTGACGTTTTCTTTACGTTTAATTGCAACTACGCCCAACATATTCTGATGCAATGTTAATGACAGGCCATAGAGATTTGTGACGCCATTGAGACTCAAGGCTGAATAGCCATATCTTTCCAGTGCTGGGCGAAATTCGCTGCCTATGGCCCGTCACGACGAAGTTGAAGGTATAACTGAAGTTACGGTGCCAAGAGGCGGTATCATTATTTTTCGCTGATTTTGCAACACGCAGATTCACAACAACAACAACAACAAAAGATTAGGGCGACGCCTAGTGATAGGATAGGCGCGATAACTTCGTTTATAAATTTCGTTTTGAGAATGTACGCTTTGTTTGCTCGAGGAAGAGAAACGTAGAGGCTAACAAAGTGTGTGAAAATCTTTATAGATGTTCCATATAGTTTACTGAGTCGGTGTGTGATCGAAGCGAGCGAAGAGATCGGTGTAGTGATCATATCCGTATCGAAGTAACGGCGTCCCCTATTACTGCGCAAGAATAGCGTTCGATCTATATCGAGCTCGTTATACTGTGAAGTTATCAATTTTTTAAGCTTGATATCAGTAGACGATAGATACTCAGTAGCAATTTTGCGTGTGTGTATATGTGTATGTTCGAAGAAGAATACAGTATGCCGCTATTAACAGTATAGGTGGCTTGGTATTCTTATGAAGTAACTAAATATTACGACAACGATCTAAAGAGTTAGTTTTCGAAAAGATAAATAAGACTAGCCAATATCTTTCATTTAGCCTACGTAATCCTGTTTCGCTGCGCCATAAAGGGCAGGATTACCTCGTAAAGCTAGATAGGAACGTTCGATTACGACGCTGGTCTGCCTTTTTGATCACTTTTGCCTCAAACATCCAAGCGACATTACTTATCGCGTTCAAACATGATAGTTATACAAGATTGCATATACTGTATTGCTTAATTAATGCGTAATTCATTGAAAATTGCTATCGGGATTAGATCATCATAAATTACCACCAAAGTACGTTCCGACCACGAACGAGCGAACAGAAATAACAAATAGGACGGAGAGTCAAGCAATTACTACATCCAATATATATACTATTTTATACGTGCATATATATACTACGTATATCTATATACGTATGCAAGCATGCGACGTTTGTAGAGAGCAAAAAAGCGCTACCCAACGAGACAACAATATCATACTGATAGATCAGTGTGTATTTTCGCCTGAGTTCATGCGTCGTATTCAATGAAGCATTGCAGAAATGTCAGTAGGCAGTCGTTAAAATCTGCATCTTTCTTCTATAAACCGAATAAGAACAATTGCTTTTGCGATCATTCCTCGTACGAACTCAGATAAGGCGTCGGTTCTTATAGAGGTCCACGAACCGGAAGGCCTTCAAGGAATGGATCCTATCCTAATCTGCTGTTTTGACTGACGAAACAGGACGGTACGCAAATAAATTACAACAAAGGGAGGGGCACTCGCAATAACGAACAGGAAACAAAGGATAAGATACGGTTAGACGGTTACTGAGTATTTGTCGTGTGTGCCGACGCTTGTCCATAAAGCGGTCCGACCGACCGCCCTATCAGGCCGAAAAGTGTGCAGTGTCTGCTTTCATAGATCAACGTTGCCGGTCGTTCTACACGTGTCAGCTGATTAGTTGGCAAAAAGAAAATTGCGAACGATAGCGACTACTTATAACGACAGCTGAAAGCGACTTTGCATTGCTACTGTTGTCAACGGCGGTACAGCATACGGTGATCCTAAAGGCACTTCAGGGGCAGCATGCCTTAAAAGTCGAAAAGTTTAACTTCTAGAAAACATTCCTTCTCTTTCTTTCTCTCTCTCTGTATATATGCATATATATATAAGCAGCTATATATATATATATATAGCTGCTCGTGTGTGTGTATGTGCTAAAGAGAGGAGCGAAGTAGAAAGAGCTATCTAGCAGGTTGAGCAAGAAAGAAGACACGTTATGAAAATTGCCTTCAATCAGTCTTGGTTTGTCTATGTTCGTTTCCGTATGAAACTGCAGACGCTCTCCTGGGGATGTCCGTTCCTGAGGCCGACAAAGACGATTGCTGCGAAGAAGAGGATTCGTTGCACGCCAATGGAGTCTTCAACTCAGCCGAACTCTATCGACTCGCACGAACAACCATTGTCGCTGAGGCTGCCGGTAAATTTTAACGTCGCCAAAGAAATCTTACGTTGATCACTGCTTTTCAAAGTATATAAATAGCTAACGGTATTTCAAACTTCATTTTGTACGCGGGTCTATGTGTACTCTGCGGACTGACGGCAAGTAAATACCATCAGTTGTTGAAGTATTATTTTCGAAAAATCTGCTCGAACACCTGTTTTATGCAGGACGTCAGCTAAGCACTTCTGAATACTGACGTTATTGTTTACTGAAAAATCGGTCTGCGTTTAGTAGTTGACCTCTGTTGAAGTACATAAATAGCACGAATTAAACATGGATGCATTGAGAAAATTAATAAAAATGGTAACGCTCTTTTATTCGTCGCTGTACTCGTAACATTTTCAAACGTGCAAAGACTATTGTCATCTTACATATTACAGTAATGTATAATATAAAAAAACAATCTTAATTACTATGTTAGCTAATGTTGTTTAGATATTTGCAATATATAATAAGGAACATTATATTTATAACGATGCATGCGATCCTGTTTCTTCTCTCGTTGGTGCCATCTGGATTTCCAGCAGCGGCAGCAGCGAGCTCCTCGGCTGGTGCAGTGTCAAGCTCACAGCCACCACCCATTATCAAGCTCGAGCCATCTAATCCGAATGGACCTTCGTTTTACGCGCAAAGTACTGCCTACGACTCATCGCTTCTCGATCATAGACAAACGCCACAGCAACAGGTGCATCGACCTGCTAAGAGGTTTGTCACACATTCATAATATATGAACTATAAAGTGACGGGTCTGCGTAAATGCGCAGTTAAGCGGCGCATTGATTTAAATCACAATTTGAGCAACCTTGACTATTGTGTCATAAAGATACTGCGAAAGTCCCCGTTGAGAAGCGATTAGGCTATTGCTGCTTTAAGCGGCATAGTTGACATTGCTAGTACCCTTTGATAATACGGAATCATTTTAAGCAATCGATGTGTTTATCTTGTTGCAGAGCTCGACGGGCATCACATCAAACGGCTACTCAAGGTTCGTCCGGTCAAACGTCGTTCCTCGAGGGGGGAGCTCTGTCGCTTCAACTTGATTCGGGTCAGCAGTCGGTAGTTCAGCTTTACTGCAGCTCAACGGTACAAGGACCACTCGGTACAATTGGACCTCCTAGTGGTCAAGGTTCATGGCTCGATTCATCGGGTGACACGCTACCCCCGTCACCTGGCCATGGGGGTCATGGGACCAGTGGCGGATTCTATCTTACTGCATCGTCCCCGCAAAAACATCACGACGGGCCTCAGCAGCAATCGCAACAACAACCCGATAGTACGTTTACCGACTTCGTCAATCTCGTGTGCGAGGCAAACGGTCCTACATCGCCAGCTGTCTCTCCCGCTGGTGGACGTCTAACTTCGTTCTACTCAGGACCCGGACAGCCCAGTCCTGTGGCGATGCTGCCTCCCCCACCACCGGCGCCTATGGCTCGACCAGTGACGATCATCCGTGCACCGGGCGGCGAATTAGCCTTGCCGCATACCCCCAGTGGGCACTCGAATCCACCCAGCCATTCAAGTCCTTCCCCACCGGTGATGCCAGACACTCCCGAGCATAGCACTACGTCAGGAGAGAGTCCCCCAGGTTAGTTTGCAACGAGCGGCCCACTTGGTCGTTTTGTCCACTAGTAACAATATTTTCGAAGTAGGATGAGGAATTAGCTTATAAGATTTAGAAAGTCAGAAGACTTTTTAAACCGCAGGCCACCTGGTCAGGTGCGAGAAAACAGCAGGTTATGTCCGACAAAGTATATAATTCAGTCACCTAATGATATTAACTATTGAAAAAGCATACCAATAACAAAATTATGGGACAGAATTTACGGAATCCTATACTATTTAAGCGGCGTATTCAGTAACAAATATTAATAATCGTTATTTGCTTACCGTGAAACGTGCATAAAAACGTGCTTAGCTATTTATGCCTCAGTGTTACAACTATAACTTTACTTTTTTCCAGCCTTAAGTCATTATATTTATTTATCCACCTTGATTTCAATTGTAAGTTACCATGTTTAGTGTACAAGGCTTCAACCAGTCTTCGTTGCTTACAATAATAATAATAACAGGCATCATCATCAAATACATGACAGGATGAAGTAACTTTCCTTTGATGAATGATGAAGATATGCGGTGCTCGGGGCCCCAAACGCTTACCGCATGTCACGGCTGCCGATCTCTGCACGGTATAAGCATACCTGGCGCTATGCTTTATATTTGGCTTTTATCGTAGTTGCTTGAACGATAATATAGGCGTATTAGGGTACAGTCTCCAAAACTATTGCCATGAGATAACGATCCGTTAGGGTGTCATCACTAAAATGAGCCAAATCCAATTTTTAACCGCACTTAATTAGAGGTGCATTTCTCATGCATCATCAAATGACGACATACGACTTTACATCATTCCTGGCCTCCTAGTCCCTATTACGTGACAATGAATATTTCGAAGTAAATTTATTCATCGCTAAGATTGGCAATGTGCTTCTTTGTTCCAGTAGTCTGCACGCTGTCTCAAAATTTGCCCCTGGTAGGATCTTCTGAACAACGGCTACAGTTCACGATGGCAACTGGTGCAAGCGGACCAATCTACCCTGCTTATCCTGACTCTAACTCGGAACCGGGGGATACGCGCTGGGCGACCGGACCTCATGGGGGCCAAGCAGGACAGCAGCAGCAACAGCATTGCTTCCTCGAAGACAACGTTGTCGATTACGGATCCGTCATGTCTGGTTAGTGTTCACATGTGAGTGTTTTATTTATTTGTCTTGGTTTTTCTATTTAATTGAAATGGTTTGCGTTTCTTTTGAATTACTACAACGAGTGGTCTTCGTTTTCCTTGAACGTATACTGTCTTTCTATATGGTTTGTGTCGCTTATTTTATTAAATGTAACATACATACGACTAATCGAAACATTTGCTAGCACATATTCCATAATTGAATTAACTCTATCTAACAAAGGACAAGATGTAAACAACTGCTTTTCGGCACCTCGTTGAACCCTTCCCAGATGCTGCAAGCTATACTTGCCCTAAAAATAGTAACGTTATGGCAAATATTGTTGAATGTTTTCTTTATAGTTTGTTTACGACTCTCCCTTGTTATACCGCGTTTTTTGCTGTTCCTATAGGGCTAATGGATAATGAGCGGCGCGTGGAGTTCTGCGTCGTAAGCGGCGTGTTAAAGGGGGGCGAGAATCCCGATTCCCCCTTGAACTCGCTTCCCAACAGTACGACGAGTGGGGCAGGTGGATTAGGTGTGCAGTTTCCCGATTCGCAGGGACAGTCGCAATTTGCCTCGTTGGAACACTCCCTCGCCAGTCCTGCAACTAAAGCGGCCGCGATCAAGACGGAAGCCGATGAGGCGGCGTAACTCTATCACAAGGCACGCCAACGAAGCTAGTACCATATGTTAGCTATCAGCTGCGCCCCGTTAACGTCAACATCTAATCTATTGACATTGATAAACTTGCACTTTTACTATTCGCGCCGATACAACCGATACAGCTGAATCATTGTGATCTTTCGACCACCCGTATCTATAGGCGAATATTCATATGCCAGCGAGACATTACCTAAATCGGCTTGGCCAATAGGACGCTAGAGCACGGCTGCCGTTATTCTTTTTTTACAATGATTTCTTCATGAGGTTGTCTCCGAAGTCTCTCGGATATCCTACCACGCTATAAAGATGAGCTAATGCCGACAAAGGTGTGGTCGATAAGTTTAGGCTAGGGCGAAGCCAGGGAACTTTTAGCTTTATCTACGTACTTGAAATAATAATAGTCGTGATCATCGTGGTCAAAGAAACGACAAGACGAAGAAACACTTTGTTCCTTTTACGAATAATGAGGCTATGCGTCGGGGCCCCCAAACATCGTCGCACGTGACGGCTGCCAGTGTCAGCACGGCCAATACGGATGTTTCAATAAGGATACGGGGGCCAAACTGTGAACACAGACTAATCTACGTAAGGAAAACTATGTACTACTCTATGAATGATTACCGTTATCATGAGATATTGCATGAAACACACAACAATCAATAGCAATGACGCTACGCGGCGAGGATGATTACTTAGCGAAGTAGCGAGATACTTATAACAAAAGTTAAGCAAGAAAATCCCGCCCCACTTCTCAACTCTCCCGGTTGTGCAGCTCAAGTATTCCTTCCATTATTCAAGAGTGCGAATAATTGATCATATATATATATATATATATATATATATATATATATATATATATATATATATAATCAATCAGTTTCAATCAAACATTATGATGATATACAGACAGCGCGTTTCATTAATTCATTAAATCTATCGAAGACTTAGGAAGTCGTTAGTTTCACTCGGCACCAAACACATTGACATACAACAACAGGTTCATACATGATACATGCTAAAGTAAATCACAGGGGTAAAGATGAAGAAAATGATGTATCTCCATGAAATGGGCATCGAGGATGGCGACGTTATGTATTTATACAACCTAAACGTGTGTAATTGTGCGACGATACAACATAGCGTACGGAAGCTACAAGCTATAAAATTCGCGGACGAAACACCTCTTCAGGACCCCTCTCTCTCGGTAATTAGCCTCAAACAGGCTATTTTGGTTAATTGACCCGTGTTTACATCAGGCACAATGGCATTTGACAACATGTCGAAACGTATTTATTAACTGATAGACATTGTATTCGTTCATATAAACTATCCTTGTTAAATTAGCTGTGCCGGGAAATTCGCTAAAGCAGATTCGACAACGGCTTTGAGCCTATTATACCTACGCATGTCGAAATTTTCCCAGTAATGATAATACACCATTGACTGAAGGCAGGTTAGGTTGCTCGCAGTGTCTATGGCCGACGCAAACCGTACCAGCTTCTTTTCTACAATACATCAAACAAGAGCATTTACGCGGCATACCGCTGGCCGATTAGGCAGACAGGTAGGACACATATGACGCAATCAAAGAGAACAAAGTACACAAAGGTTGGTTTTTTATTATTAATTTAGAAATAACAGTAATAATAATGGAACGTTTTATAATAACAATCACAGTAATACATTCACAACAAACAGAAATAATGTAAACTCTAACACACAATCTATTTTGTTGTATAATGAACTCATCGTTATTTTTACGTAACTAGCTTTCAAATACAATATTGTCATTACGATGATAAACATATGAGAAAAACACACAAACACACCAACATACAGGAACTTCTTAAAGTTAACCAGCCAAGATGCGTATGGTTACTTTATATTGCAATGAAGTTTAACGTTATTATTATTACTACGATATGATTTTATACCTATATCTTGAAGCATAGTGGCTTTATATATATATATATATATATATATATTTTAAATATATACATACATTTATTGGGGCGTGCTGTGCCCAACTTGTTGCAATTTCTACGAACACAAAAACAATTTACAATATACAATATGATATAAATAGCAATATATTTGTCAAGTAGGAGGGTTGAATAGGCGTAAGATAGGGAGGCAAGGACTGTTCTACTTGTCCACTCAGGGTACTGCGTATAACAGGAACAGGGATGACACCGGTTGCATTTCTTCGGACGCGTAAATGTATTTTCAATCAAATAGCCATCCGTCGCTAGCACCAGGATATTTGAAGATGGGGTATAGAGCACGAAAATGCACTAATGTGATTCCGATGGATCAGAGTCGATAAAAAAGAGCGTAGAGGTCGACAAAAAGGCAAACAATCGAGAGAAATAGGCAAATTATAGTGTCAAATGATAGGGAAAAATCAATGGTACAAAACTTTTAAAGACGCATTCAGGCGGCGGAACAATAAATCGAGTTGCCAAAGAGTTGCCGTTTGATTTTTGTTGGTTCTTCACATTGTTGTGAACCACAACACAAACGAGCGATAAGAGCAAAACCTGCGACAGTTTGGGGTGTTTACATATATACAAACAAATACTTAGATACATATATATGCACACGGGTATATGGATGAAATATATATATATATATATTGGTGATGTGTAAATCTTCCTTTCCTATGACATCCCCACGCCATCTGTCCCATTTCAATACGAACATATATGGACGACCCATCGCCTGTCGTCCAGCCCATGAACGTAGTCTTAGCAACGTACCTTTAACACCTCCTGTTTATGCAATCTTCACCTTCCAGCTTGCACATCATTCCACCACACGACCTTCCATTCCTAATCTTAAAACAGGAACGACGATACTTGATTTGTACTACGCCCCAAGATCGATCCTGCTCTAAATTCTAAAGAACCTACACCTCCCGAATTAACATAATCGAACCACTGTCTATTACTGCCTCGTTGTGATGAACCTCCGGAGAACGTCTCAATCTTCCATCCCCCTAAATCGAAGGTCCTTTCAATGTAATTAACAGAATTTGCAACAACGAACCCCGACCTTTTCGTTACCTAGCTCTGCAATCGGTTTCCCTATACTCACGCCTGTGTTTTCACTTTGTCTTTGTTTTGTTTCATGCGTGCGCTAGTATTTGTGATAAAGCTAACTATTATAACGTGCTTAACAGTACTTAATATTAACTACTATAAGGGTTCTGTAATTTTAGCCGGTGATCGAAACGATCTGTGTCGTTCGATTGATTTGCGAACTGCTGAAAACACACAAGATGCCGATATGTCGGTGTTTTAAAGCGACTCCACTTATTCATCAGAATAATGATAATATTCTTTTGTAATGTCACACATTGTTTTGTACGATGGACAAACGAATAAACAAACAGCCCTAGGTATATCGGACGAAACAGAAAACAGGTAAAATAAGGAAAACAGTACATAGTTTACTTATTGCTCCAACGGTTCCAGCGTTACGGAACCGCGTGTTTGCGTATGGAGTGTTTTTGCAATTGCTTAGGCAGTTACAAGTATAATAGATGAAAAAAAAAAATGAAAATCATGTGGCTCTTATAGAGAACCCGGAACATATACAAATAAACGTTTGTGATTTTCGGCAAGTTTTAGCGATCGGTGGTGACTCTGATATTGGGACAGAGTTACGGAGCGAGAGAGTGAGAAATGCATGAAGACGATGAATTAGGCTACCATCTTGCACGTACAGCTAGGATGTAACGCTATGAACGCAAAATGCGGATCCGCCGCTTGCCGCCACGTGCCTGCTAGTAGAGAGATACTACACTCTGTATATAGTGAATTTATTATATTAGACAGTCTTGTGGCACCGACGCAATGGAAAAAGCAAAACTGCTGATATATACATAACTATATATATATATATATATATATACACAAATATATATATACACACACACGCACCTATAAACATGATGACAATTGTATGGCCGGTCAACATGATTATGACAGCGTTCAAAATTGTAATAACAGCACGTTACGACTTCGAGAATGCTACCGGAATGAAAAACAATTTCCTTCCGAAGTACTGCTTGTGAAGTAGATACAACTTGCGAGCCCGGATTGGGGCCGTCCACAATGATGGTACGTGGCGTACGTAAAAATACAGGGAAAAATCACCCTACGGGCCCTACGCTATAGGACAGACACGAAAATATAGGGCAAAAAAATGAAGAAAATCGTTCCAGACCCTTAAAAAGCGCCTGCCTGTTTTTAAAACGAGTAGCCAGAATCAAACATGTAGCACGTACTATACGACAAGCTACCCAAAAATAATTTAGGTACAAATCTACGAAGGACAACAAGCAACAGTACTTTCACAATCTCCTTAGCGATAACAATAATCATATGATAATGCTATAACTATAACAATGGCAGATCAGTCTACACATACCTACCCTACAGAGACAATAGGCAAGTAGGTCAACTCCTACGAAAGTCTTTCATTAGCAGAAAAAAAATAATGCAATTATTATTATAGCTATTATATTAGTAAGTAATATAATAACGACGTCAATAATGATCACATGTAGCATGTCATAGTATAATGTGGCATATTAGTTCGTTCTTCGATTGAGACTTGTGTCGAAATAAATTACAAACACACTCGCTCGCTCACTCACACACACACACACACAGCCATCACGACTAACGCATGTCGAAACTGGCAGAAACGCCTACCAGCAACGACCTGATCGAGACCGTTTTGCGGTCCTGAACACTGACGCTGAACGCCGTTAGGCTCGAACAGAACAAAATATGATACAATACGATGATGATGAGTTTACCTATTAGCGACAATAGTCACACCTAACTGACAAAGACACGAGCTATATATACTCACTGTGCCCTATCGTATTGTACGACTGATGATAAAAGCAATACTGATACTAATGCTGGGAAGTTCGCTCCGTAGTGAGTCTAGATTTCTTTGTTGGCTGTTTAGCGGGTAATGAACTTGTGCTTGATTGAGACAACGCATCGATATCGTACTTGACGAGAAACCCATGAAGATGAGAATGTAAACTCTTTAATAGAACCGTAGCTTACCTTTCGCCACAGACATACCCGTAAAGTGTAGGGTTTACTGATTCTAATCGTAATACAGGTTAGGGAACGTATTCGATGTAATGCGTATCATAAATACCGTATTAGTAGGCATAACTAAGGATCACCCATATATTGTGCCTAGTCTATGCATAACCCACCCCGTTTCCGACCGATCTCTCGCAGTGGAACGGTCGTGCTTGCGTTGTGCTCTACATTTCAAAAAGGAACAGAAACGAATCAGTAAATTCTAATACATTTACACATTTTGATCGATTTATTCACGAATATTACGAACCGTAGAGTTGAAGGAGTGTAACTGTTCTTACGTATGTACACACATAATACAATGCAGGGAGACGCAGAGATAGAAGCCCGCTCGCCTGGCTGGACCGTTATTTTAGCGCTTGCCTTCGTAGTACCAGGTCTGTCGCTGGCAAAAGAAAAGTACGTATCAGAAGATTCATCGAGGAATAGAACAGAAGGGGACGGCCCAGTGATGTGTACCGAAAAATAGATTACTGCTCTAGAAGGTACGCGTCACAAGTGCCCTGTGGGCGGACCGAACACGCTCACGCTCTACAAACAAAGTGAAAATCCTCTGGACTATGGATAGCCGGTTGACATTTGGCAGGCTTTTTGGTTACATCTTTACGCTATACGACGATTCTGGGATGTTTCTAATCCGAGTTTTGCGCTGAGAAGTATGTCTCAAACGGGTTCTGCCTTGTGAGAGAGCACTTATAACAAAAGTAGCAATGAAACTGTTGCCATCGATACTTTATGTTGCGGTCCGTTTTACCAACCGTTTCTATCCCTACGTATCTCTATCGTTCCTCCAGCTGGCTCGGACTTTTTGGTGGCTTCCCGCCTTGATGCTGGTAGGGCATCAGTCCGATGTTTCCTTTGAAGGCAGCCACGAATATTTAGCAGGACACAATGATATAAGTACTTGATAATCATGATGGAAACGTGAATTAATTTATGACGAACACACTGAAACTACAATTGTCTGAGCGACGGCAGATATGATACTAATCACTTAATACAACATTCAAGAACACAGACAACCTAGATAGAATCATATATCGATCTAAGCAAAGAAGTAATGATAAACCAATGGAATATCGTTTTTCTATTAGTTCACTATTGGTTTTGTATCCGTTTGTTTCCTGATCGTTTTAAGACGACAATATGTCGACAGACGGAACAGCGTCTAAAAGCAGACGCGTCGCCATACCGTAGCTTAAGCACTACCGATAACAGCAAAAACGACGACAAACAAGTTCGAAGAGAGCCATCCCGCCTTTCCAATACAGTTTGCTACTAGCCCCTGAGACACTCACCAAAGTAACAATGAACCCAACTGGAAAGAGGAATCAGGGGATCGGAAGCATGCAAAAGACAAAAAAAATTGCTTTAGATTTATGATCCACTAATAATCAGTTAGCACCATGTTCTCACACCTATGAATCGAGCGGTGAAAGTGGCGTGATTGGGTGTGACGTTTCCACGCTATCGCTCTCTGGCTTGCAATTTTGATACGTTGTGACGAGAGTTTCGGTTAACGTAACGCTGCTCAATCAGTACATGTAGCTGATT